TGCATTTTCCTAAACAGTTGGCAAATTTAAATAGAATTAAAATAACTTTTAACATTTTTGGTAAAATAAATAAAAAAGGTAAAGAAAGAGAATGTTGTCTTTTATAATTACGTCTCCGACACGAAGCTTCCGTCTGATTTCACGTCTTCGTTTCTGGTCAAACTAAAGTTCTTGATGAGTCGCAGTCTGACCGTCAGTGGTCGTAGTTATATGACATGAACGTGTTTCTGAACACGTCGGTCCTTTGGTTGGTTTTAGATGTTCTGATGGTTCAGCTAAAGCCTGAACTGAACAACAGTAACGGTGGATGAGGAAGAAGAAACACTTCGGGTTCATCAGTGAACTCAGAAATGTTCCTCATTGATCCACCATCAGGGAGTTCTGAAGGTTCTAGTTTGTGGTTCTGTTGAGTTCAACACTTGTTTCTAATCTTTAGTAGATGTCGGTCCATAACGTAAAGTGGTACCACGTAGAGTACCGTGTGTCCTGCAGCAGACGTGTGTTTTCTGTCTTTAGAGGATGGTATTCCTGTTCTGGTACCACGTCAGCGTGGCCCAGTAACTACCACCAGTCCGTCTGGATTACGTTCCCATCAATCATCCCCCAGTTTACAGATGTGGTTCAGAGAAGTGTCCGTACATAATCAGCAGTCATGTTGGTGTTCTTTTCTGGTTCCTGAACCTTCCTGACTCTCCGACTCCTCTGTGTGTTGTTCACTGTGCTGGAACAGGAGCTGGTTTAAACCTTCATTACTGAGCCTGATGCCTCTCAGCTGTAGACCCGCTGCTCTGCTCTCTTGTTATTGATCTGTTTGTTTGTATTTATCTGTATTTGTTTATTTATTCCACGCCGTCTCTCTGTGATCTCTGTCTCTGCTGTCCAGGCCTCTGCGGCTTCGACTGACCGACTGCGACTCTTTGAGTGTCTGAGGGAGCAACACTTGAACAGGACGAGCGCTGCAGCAGCAGAGAGGCCGGTCAGCGTCCGGCTGGCGGACGGCCGGACGCTCAGAGGGACGGCCGGAGTCACGACGCCGCTGTCGGTGGCTCAGAGCGCTCGGTGAGTACCGCTGAGCTGGTGTCTTCGGTGTTGGTGCTGCAGCTGTGGTTGTAACGGCGCCGTGTGTCTGCAGCGTTAAAGGAGCTCTGGTCAGCACGGTGGATGGGCAGCTGTGGGGGCTGGGGCGCCCCCTGGAGGCCGACTGTGAACTACAGCTGCTGGGCTTCGACACGGCGGAGGGACGACAGGTGAATACACCTTTAATGACAGGTTCATGAAGCTTCACACTGTGGAAGGTCTCGTCTAGTCTAGTTCTCTTTTTTTTTTTTGGCCTTTGTGCCTTTATTGGATCGTGTCAGTGAGAGAGAGACGGAGAAGAATGGGGGGAGGACGTGGGAATGGGTCATGAGCGGGATTCGAACTCATGACCTCCACATGGGGACTGTAGTCCTGTATATGGGACGCCAGCTCCACCAGGTGAGCTGTAGCGGCGCCCTCTAGGGTCTCGTTGTCTAACTCTGTGTCAAATGTTACAGTTTGATTTGCAAAACGTTTCTCAAAGCAGACGGCAGGAATCAGTAGAACCACAGACGGACTGGATCAGACGCTGCAGAACAACGTCACAGCCTTTGATTTCATAGTTTTAGACCCTTTTATCGAAATAAAATGTTCCTCGACAGAGTTCTGGAGTTCCAAAACGGTTCAGAATACAAAATCTGCCTGTTTTACAAGAACATGTTCTTAGTTCTGCTTTGAGAACCATGTTGAAGCTCCAGAACCCTGGTCTGGGACCAGACCGTCTGCTGATATTTCTGTTGTTGTAGTTCACGTTTAAATAACGTCTCTTTATTTATGACCAAATTTTGTGATCATGTGTTTTAATATGAACAATATTTAAAGTGTTCTGATGTGTCGTCTGTGTTCCTGTGACCTGCAGCTACATGTGGGTCAGAACACGTCACTGGTTCTCTTCTGAAGCATCAGGTTTTAGTTCATGAGCTCAGAGATGGAACTTTTCATGATGACTTGAATGTTTTTCACATTTCAACTCATCAATAATCAAATGATTGATCTACAGGTTCTGGATCAGTGACAGGATGAGAACTAACAGAACATTCCAGGTTTGATCTTCAATAGTTCCTCAGATGTTCTTCAGACAGACTCAGATTTAACGAGAGAACAAACCTGCTGAACATGGATTAATGGGGAATTAAAACAATGTTTTATATCAGGAAGTCTTTGATATATCAGCTCAAATTCCATAAACATCTTCATTCAAATGTATGTTTTTGCTGTAGAACTTCCCGCCCAGAGCGGGTCGATCAGAACCAGCTGTACGTGTGAACACGCTTTAGTTTCTGCAGCTGTTCAGACATCTGAGACAGAAAGTTGATTTAAGAAGTGAAATGAGGCGTTCTGGTGGGAGACGGACCTGAAACCTGCTGCCTGCTTCTCAGGCGGCCTGGAGAACCGGAGCCTGCGTTCTGGGCCAAGTGCTGGAGGCCACGTTCGGGGCCAAGGTGTTCAGAGAAGGAGCCTCAGAACTGGGCCTGTTCTGTGACCACCTGCTGGACCACGGGTGAGTCGTCTTCATTCAGCACCGCTCGGTCCCACACCAGGGCTGGTTCTGACATCTGTGTGGACAACTGGGTTCAGTGTGGTTGGAGCTGTTTGTCTTGATGTTTTTATCATTTCTTCTGTTGGTTATTTCTGACTAATGAATGTGTTGTTACACTGGAGATGAGCAGCTCCCGTCTCTCTGCAGCTTCTCTGACCAGCCTCCCTGCTGTGTTTCATGTTCCTCTGACTCCAACCTGCAGCGCTTTGTCTCTGAGCGACGTGGAGGCCCGATGTCAGCAGGCTGCAGCCCTCAGACTCCCCATCACCAGCCTGGAGCTCAGTGCCGACGAAGTCCGGCAGCTCTTCCAGGTCAGCGCTGCACTCTGGGTTTGGTAGACGGTCTACAATTCATGTTTCTAGTTATAGTCCAGCAGGAAAACACAGACATAAGCCGAAAGATTGACCTTCAGAGGTGAACAGCTGCACTGTGAGTTCACGTCTTAGTCTCAGTTCATCTGGATGGAGTATTTATTACATGAAACTAGTCCAGAATGAGTTCAAACGTCTGTAGAGACATGAAACCGTTCACAGTAACTGATCTCGTGTCCAAAAGGTCTGGAACCTGGTTTAGAATTGGTTCAGAACTGTTCTAAAAGACATGAAGCTTAGCAAAGCTTCCCAAAATGTTTCTAGAATGTCTTGAAACTGTCCAAAATAAATTAAGAACCGTCCCTGAAGACCTAAAACCGTCCCTGAAGACCTAGAACCGTCCCTAATGACTTACAAACCGTCCCTGAAGACGTGAACCCTGATCTTTCCTCCCTGTTGGTCTCCAGAGCAGCGACCTGCGGCTGCAGCTGATCCAGGACCAGATGTCTGACGCTGCCGTCACGTTCTACAGGTGAGAACACTGACACACCTGCTGCGGACTCACCTGCAGGCAGCATGCCACCTCACCTGTCTGCTCGTGTCCAGGTGCGGAGATGGCGTCGGGGTGAGCAGCGGCCCCCTCCTCCCCCACACAGGCCTCCTCAAGGTGTTCAGGATGCTGCAGGTGAGTTTCCTCCTGCCGTCCTCCAGACTCACCTGGAGCCGCTCGGTCCAGCAGAGATCCAGTTACTGATGACATTTATTAAAGAAGAGAGTAATTAGGATCATTAGTTGTAACTGGATCACAGTTCTGATAAATCCCAGCAGAACGGAGACGATGTGTAGATCTAGTAGTCGTAGATTTATTCATCTGGTTCAGTTTGTCTGCTCTTGAATTAGTTCTTAGGTTTCTTCTTTTCAGACAATAGAAGCTGTAGGAGATGGTTCTGACATGTTTCCACTGGACCTTCAGTCTTCCTCAGAGGCGTCAGCTGATCGCCGTGACGTGTCAGGCA